ATATCCACGCTGCTCGAAACTTCACATTCACCTACGGACCGTCGAACAATATCGTTAACGAAATTACAAGAATCATCCATGAGTGAACAGATTTTCCTTCAAAGTTTATGTTCTGTACAATAAAGGGAGATATTTCTGAAAAATATTAACGCCTAATATTGAATTGTGTAAATTTTTTGCAGTGTTCATCAACTTTTTATTCTTCAGAATTACTGAAGCAGTAATTATTAAGAATTACTAATAAATATTAAGAACGCCGTTTAAAAAACTTAACCTAACAATGATAACATTAAAGGATTAGCTTCGTTTCTATTTTTAAACAGTTTAATTAATCTTATTTGGTTTATTAAGTAGATAATTCAAAAGCATTTATGAATTCTTGTTACAATTTATTAAAAAATATGACGTAGAGCTATAATTAAAAAATGAACGTATTTACTGCTTTCAGAACGCCATCTTGGAAGTACGAGGTAACCTAACACATAATATGATTGTGTAAATTAGGTGAAGAAAGTGTCAAAAATATCTTTCATTGCATTTCTCATATTAGCAATTCTTTTATTATTGAAGCAATTTATACACAGAACGTTGTTAAAACCAATTCAATGTCTTATGTTAGGTTAGGTTTACCAACCTCATATATCTAAGTAAAACAATAATTTCTATTATCTACACTTAACAACAATAATATCTATTTCCTATAAGATATATAAAATTGCTATCAAGTAAAAATTTTCATTAAAATAACAATTTATTTAAAAATTTGATAATAAAATATACAATATAATTTGTTTAAAAAATTAAGTAATATAAACCTACAAGATATTTAATAACACACAAAGCATCTTACAATTAGATAAACTATAAAGAATACAGCAAATGACATTGTTCAAATTGTAGAAAAAAGAACAAATTCAACAGCCAAAGTTAGGTTAGGTTCTGTACCAATATTTCCGAGTCTCTCAAGCTTTCAAAGGACGAAACAACGGACATTGTTTATCGCTAGAAATAGCCGTTCATCTTCCCGTGTGGTTAAAAATAACGATTTATGGAGTAGCATAAAGGTACGTACGAAATAAAAAGATATATCGATTGAAGGGCTCGTGGCGTGTCGTAAATTTGCACGGTAATGGGTGTGCAGATAAGCGACGCGTGCAAATAAATGCGTATTACTTTGGTAATGGAAAATGCCGGATCGATGTGACCGCGACGAATCAGTGCTACCAGCTGAAAAATATAACGTATAATACCCGCGAATTTCGTGACAACGTCTGTCACCCTGTGGCACGTACAAAGCGAAATATCACGCGACTGCATTTCGCGCGGATACAAAAATAAGAACAGTCGCTGTTTTCTTTGAATCTTACTCACTTTCGATTCCACGGTTTTTACGTGCTGCATGGATCGATAGAATGCTTCTGATTTTTCTGATTCTACTTACATTTCTACTGGAAATTTCAACTTAACACAAGGTTTACGAGACGCGACATTTTGACGTATTTCAAATTTTTTTGGGGAAAATTACAAAAACCGTTCGCATTTTTATTTTATCTCTGGTACTGACTGTTATCCATTGAACGAGGTAAATATGTATCGAAGTCTATTTTCTTCTAAAGCTTTGAAATATTGAAATTTACTATGTGGTATACCTATCTCTACGGATGTGCGTCAATTTGACGCGATTTAATGTAAATAAAATTCTTAGTAAATTAGTTTTACCCATGCAAAAATTACAACAATAATAAATATGATTGCACCGACAATACCTTATAAACGACGGACTTCGCTATTCCGGAGTCGCACGCTAATCCTAATTTGGGGTGTTGGACTTCGGTGCATTTTAACTCAACGCGTTGCAATTTCGACACATTGCAAATTCAACACGTTGTAATTCAACATATTGCAATTCCACGCATCCTAATTTGGGGTGTTGGACTTCGGTGCATTTTAACTCAACGCGTTGCAATTTCGACACGTTGCAAATTCAACGCGTTGCAAATTCAACGTGTTGTAATTCAACATATTGCAATTCCACGCATCCTAATTTGGGGTGTTGGACTTCGGTGCATTTTAACTCAACGCGTTGCAATTTCGACACGTTGCAATTTCAACGCGTTGCACTTCAGCGCGTTGCATTTCCACACGCTGTAATTCGGCAGATTGCAGTTCAGCACGTTGCACTTCGACGCGCTGCACTTTGGAGCGCTATACTTTCATGCGTTGGTCTTCGATACACAGTTGAACTGCACTCAGCTGGTATCCTAGGTTTGGACCCGGAGTCACAGTTCAAATCGCAGTTCACAGGGTAGAGGGAAGTAAAAACATGAATGTCGAATATTTAAGTAACGTACTAAAATACTAATGAATAATAAAAACTTTCTATAAATATATCTCATATTTTCATTCCTTAAAATTTAAAAATTGATTTAGTTAACGTGGATATGAAATCAGAATATTATACGAAGTGCCTATAAGAAGTCTAGCATGATTTCATGACATAAAAGTGTATGCAAATTGTATTTGTGACACGTCAATTTAAAGCTCAAGGTATGCTGAAAATAGTCGTGCAAAGGCCCCTTTAATATTTGTAATGCAAGGAAATTTAGATGAAAGGGCAGAAAGGCCATCTGATTGTTTTATACTGAACAGCTGTTCGTGACACGTAAAGGGTATAAAATGATTACGTGACGGAAAAGTACGCTAAAACATCGCTTGTGATATATCGATTCCAAGGTTAAAATTTTCCCAAAATAGCCGTGTAAGTGATACCTTAATATTTCTTTTATGGGCGCCGTGAGATGATGCAGAAACATAACTGTTGGACTCTTGCATATCGAACAGCTGATCTTGACAAGTGAATCTTTTAACAGAATTTCATAATAGAAAAGTGTCACGATACGTTATTTATGGTACATCACTTTCAAGCTTAAAATGTACTGATAACAACTGTATGTGGGCTCCATTAATATTTTTGATGTGAACAAAGTTGGGAGGAAGAGACAGAGAGTATACAAGTATATCAAATATATTTTGGAATATAAGAATATAGGACTTAAGATAAATTCATAACAGCAAAGCATTGCAAAATACCATTTATAGTATATGTAATAGAAGCTCTAAGATTGCTAAAGATTGTCGTATAAAGGTATTCTTCGCATTTTTAATAGTAGCAAAGTTAAAAGTCAGAAAAGTAGAACTGTTTTTGTATATCCAATCAATTCAAGAGCTACAAAGTCTAACGTAAATTTATGACAGAAAAGTATCGTAAAATACCACTTACAATATATTAATTTAAAGCTTCAACATTGCTGAAAATCGCAGTGTGAATGTCCCTTTGATATATTCACTATTAGCAAAATAAGAAATTAGAGAAGCAGAATGATTACATTTTTGTAAATTGAATGATTCGTTTCAAAAGTTATACATGTATGTTCTACCGCAAATTCATGACAGAAAAGTATTTCAAAATACAGCTTATGATACATCAATCTGAAGCTTGAACTCGGTTAAAAATCACTATATAAATGTCCCCCGGATATCTTCATATTTAGCAAAATAAAAAATTAGTGAAGTAGAGTCACCACATTTCTGTACACACAATTCACTTTAAACGTTACAGACTCCAGCAAAAATTCATGACAGAAAAGTATCACGAAACGCCACTTATGCTATATGAATTAACAGCTTGAAGCTTGCTCAAAATCGCCATATAAGTGCACCATGATTATTTCTAATATTATCAAAGTTAGAAATTATAAAAGAACACTTCCTTTTTTTTATACCAAACCCCAACTTTAACGGTACATATCCAAATTCATGACAGAAAAGAATATCAAAATATTACTTATGGTATATCAAATTCAAGTTTGAAGCATTTCAAAAATAACTATATAAGCACCTGCCGATCATTTTTCACATAAATTAATCCTTGAAGCATATACTGAACCACACACGTGTATATCAGTTTCTGGCGATACAGTCACGTGTTTTTGCAATGAAAATCAATTTGTTAATAATATTTGCGTATTTTTCAAGCGACACCAAGGTTGGCCACAGTCTTCGCTTCGATCGGAGATGCTTTTCGCCAGAGACAGCTCGTACACCAACCGGAAAATCCGATTACGTTCAAACGGCAGCTAGGCTAAAGCCTGCCCAGGAACGAGGAGGGCACGCTTCAAAGCAACGTCTATAACTAATTACAAGTCTTATCTACCAGTCGCCTAAAAGGTGCTGATTAAACGTAGATTCGTCGAACACCAAGGGAGATGATTGGGTTACGACGGATAAGTTTTTTTGTTCTTGCTACAAGATCTTCCCGAGATCTTCGGTACTTTGGAACTCTAACACTTTGAATAAAGACGTTGATTGTATTCGAATTACTATTTCTTTTTTTATGACAATTTTCATGAAGATTATTTGTTTGATACGTTTTGTGTATTTTTATATTTTGTTATGGTTTAATTTGATAGGATAGTGCTTGAAATATTGTGTGTTGAAATATTTCATTTTGAAGTATTCTAAATTTCGAAACAATCCGATATGACACAGTAGTTTAAAATATTTCAAATTGTAAAACACCCAGCTTGCAACACTTTATTTCAGAATATTCCAAATTCCGAAATATTCGATGTATAATGTTCTAATATCGAATTACGCGTATTTCAAACACTCCACTATGAAATATTCTGATTTGGAGTGTTCTATTTCAAATTACCCTAATTTGAATCATTCGACTCTGACATATTCAAATTTCAATTATCCAAATATGTAATACTTAAAATTTCCAAATATTTTAATTGCAAATATTTCACTGTAGAATTTTAGCACTTTGAATAATTAAACTGGAAATATTGAAACATCATAATTTTGAAAATTTTATTTCGAGATATTCAAATCAGGTACATTACAAATTTCTTTAAATATAAATCTCGAATGTTAATTTATCTAAATATAAATTTATCATAATAACTATATTTAAATGTAAATAAAAGGTATTTTACCTGTAACTGAAGATTCGACGATCTGATAGTTCGTTTTACCCCATGCTGCATCGTATCATCTAAAACCTGTAACAATCAATAAAAAATTGACAATAAATTCTACCAGTGTATAACATCCAAAATATTTGTATGTCTACCTGAAACACTATTTGAGAACTACATTCTTGTATTAATTCGCAGCAATACACGTAGCAGTACCAAATAAGAAGCTTAACATAAATTTTTATTATGACTGCTACACTGTTTCACCATTCCGTTTGATTTACAAAATTGTGTATACTTTTACTCTCCAGAGCAAGACGTAAAATTTCTGTTTTTAAATCTGCAAGAAGGAACCTTGCTTGTATTATTTATGATATTTCAGGTTACACAAGAAAACACGTATTTCCTTACGGTAAAGAAAGAAATCCTCTTTTTTCCTTGGAAAAAACTGGCATATAGATTTGGTTCTTGATATCGCGACTCAGGAAACTTAACGTGTTATATTGATTCTGCTGTTGTTTGGTCAGTAATATATGACTTTCTTATTTCTTTCTGGAAAAAACTCTATTCATTTGTCTTGTACGAAGGGGAAGATCCAATCAAATCAAATAGTTTGAATAACTTTGTGGTTTCAATTATTCGTATTTTCTGATCTTTAAATATTTTCAAATTTTAATAACAGATTCTACGAACAATTTATCAATTCAAATAAAACACAAATCAAATTAAATAACTAAAATTACATAGTACTTTTACACAAGTAATTTACAGTCTACACATAAAATTACACAGTAGAATTTATTCTTTATTCAACTACAAAAACAATATCAATTTTCCAAATTGTATCAATTATAGCAATATCAAATTATAACAATTTGCAGAAATTCTGTGCAAACCACAAAATAAATTTTCTTAATAAAAAAAGAAATAAAGGTATCTCATGAAAACCTCCCCCAAAAAGTTCCACCGAATGAATTATTTCGGAAAGCATCTGTTTCAACGAATTTTGCAGTAGAATTTTTGCAAAAGTTTTCACCGTCTGTGAAACGGAGGATTCTGTGACGACCTATCTCAGTTATTCGACGTTTACGAAGAAAAAGCACGATAAGAAACGAAAGAAAAAGATTGAAGCTAACTTGTGGCGTACCAACACAATTTGGCACCTGTAACAGAACAAAAAAACCATCCACATAATCCAAAAAACAAGCAAAAATAAGCTGTCGGTTTGGCGCTGACTTCCAGTTGGCAAAGCACATGGTTCCGACACGAAGGCAACCACTTAAGAGGGTGAACCACCCTCTAAGAATTTAAGAAATCGAATTTTCTTCCCAATTTCCATTAACTTTAAAACGTGTGGAACATCGCGAAACTTTTTAAAATCTACAAAATCCGGCAACAATAATATAAGGATTGTTGTGACAATATTTTTGTTATTCGCACGAAAAAATGATTTTCTCGTATTTAATCTTTTTGTGCAATTTGAAAGAGTAATATCTCATTTTAATTTAATTTAGTTATACAACTGAAATAAATTGTGTAAACAATTGTATAAACAAACTGTAATTTAGTTATGTATATAAAAGAATGTGTAATTATAATTAAATTTAATTGTATAGTTTAAACAAAAGTGCGATTGTAATTTAATTTAAGTAACTAGGTTAAATGAAAATTATGCGATATTTTAATTGAATTTTATACATTAAAATAATTGTACGAGTATAATTTAAGTGTACAGTGTACAAGAATTGTTTAACAATAATTGTACAATTCAAATTTTATAATTGTTAAAAGAGACTCCATAGTACATTACAAATATTTCTATTTACAACACAAGAATTTTTAAACTCAGATAATTCAAATCGCCTCTGCCATTTTGTAACACACTCGCTTCAAAGAAGAATCGTAACACGAAAGTAATAACAAACTTTGCACGCAGAAATGCAACAGCTGAAAAAAGTTAAAAGTCACTTCACCCTTCGAAAGTTTATGAATTTTTAAACGTCTCCAGATATGCGATGAAACAATCAATCGATGGATCAAAGAATGCAGATTAAAATTGTCAGTAAATTGAATTTGCAGTGAAATTACGAGAAACGGAGTCTCTCAAATAAATGAAAAATGTGAAATAAATTATGGAAAACAATAAAACAGAGACGGGGAGCGTGTCGGCAGATATTGAAAGTATTAGCATGTTAAGAAGTTTTAAAGGAAGATCGGGGAATCACGGGCGTCGACAACCCTCGTGGAAGGATAATGAAAATCTAGTCCTCTTCTGCTTTTTTTCAATTTGCTTCAATTGATGCTTAAACTCGCCCGTTCCTTCGGGTGTCGTCTTCGACAAATCGAAGTGGCAAATCGGATTACAAAAAAAGAACGAATCGGAACGAAATTCGAAATCGTTTATCCAGGATGTACATGATTTCTTTTATTCCTTGTCGTTGTTCGAGTAGCGGGATCGATCGTCCACTTTGTTAAGAAATGATTATATAGCAATTGGTACTTTTAGTGTCTACTTTTATTTGGAAAGATTATAGCGAATTTCATGTGGCACTATTCGATTGTTGAAGCAACGTGATGTTATATGGAGTTATATGGAGGTATAGAGAGGTATATGTCGTTATAGTGGAGTTATGTGTAATTAGAATGGTATTATATGGAGTTATACGCAGTTACACTATATTGTACAGTGTTGTACGAGATTATACGAAGTTATACGAAATTATATGGAATTATATGGAGTTATACGGTGTTGTATGTAGTTCTAATAGAGTTATATGGAGTTATATGCAGTTATATAGAGTTACATACAGTAATATTGAGTTACATAAAGTTAAATTGATTTATAAAGTGTTATATAGAGTTATATAGTGTCACATGTACTTACGTGTACTTATAGTAAATATAATATAATAAATATAAATATTTATATATAGTAAATATAATTTTAAACAAATAATTTTTTGTAACTTTCTAAATGTACAGTAAAAAACTAGGACACCTTGTAAATATTTCTTCATCTTGTATATGTTCCATGATGAAGATAAGAAATCAAAAATAGCGCATTAATAAAAACATTGGTTTATCGAACACATTATCAGAAAAGAGTGTCTTGAACGAACGCGAACGATAACAAAAAAGAGGTGCAAGGAAAAGGAAATGAGAGCAAGATCGAACATTGGCCCACTGTCGTCGATTAATGGCTTCCATTCCAAGATTCAATTATTCGGCGACGTCCGCTGTCAAGCAGAAAATCGGATTACAGCCTGCTGACGAACGGACTGAGAGAGTCCGGAAGAGTGGAACAACTAATTACCGCTAATTACTCGTCTTATTCCGGTAAAACACGTCTGTTAAAAGGCTATCCCTTGTCGACGACTATTGACTTCGGTCTCTGAGTTTCGCTGACAGTTTTCGGGTAAGGAAATGACTATGCTAGGGCACGTCTTGGGTTACATTGTTCGTCGCTGTATTTAAGGAGATAATCGAGTTTAAATCTTATATATGCAACTAAAATCTTATTGTATAATATACTTGTAGTATTCTAAATTAATGTTTGAAGATTATGGGAAAAGACAGTATGTTTCGTTAATATTCTTAACGCAAAATGACTGGTGATTGATTGTAAATATATGGCTAATTTTGAAACATCTGATTCGGGACGTTTGAACGTCTGATATGTTTTCATGACAGAAAAGTTTGAAAATTGTATTCATGACATGTCAATATAATATTTAAAGAGGGAACAAAATGTCAATTTATATGATTCGTTGATATCTTTAATACAAAATTCCTGATCGTCAGTTATAACATATGAATAACTAATTTTGAAACCTAAAATTTTATAACAGAAAAGTATCTTAAAATGACTCTTATGATATACCAATTTAAAGCTTGAAGTATATACAGAACGATAATTCAAACGATTCATTAGCATTTTTAACAGAAAATGACTGATAATTATAACAAATGAATAATTTTGAAATCTACGAAGTCTGGCATTATTTCATGACAGAAAAGTTTTGCGAAGAGTCACTTATGACATATCAACTGAAAGCTAGAAATTTGAGGAAAACGTCCTTGTAAATATCTTTTCTATAGCATTATCATTACGAAATGTAATCTACTAGGAATTGGATATGGACTGAAGACCCAAGTTGTAAATTGGTTAGGTCACTGTTTTATTCAACGAAAGATTACTCAATTTGTATTACAAATATTTATAATGTGTTTACGTGGTTATTTTTGTTAAACTTCAAGCTTTAAATTGTATTACAAATATTTATAATGTGTTTGCGTGGTTATTTTGGTTAAACTTCAAGCATTAACCTGATGTACTGTAACTACCATTTGGAATTACTTTTCTGTCATGAAATCTTGTTAGACTTTTCACGTTTAGAAATCGATAATTTACTGAATAGCCGTCTAATAGCAACGTTTTATGTCTTCTAACTTTGATAATCTTAAAATTATTACAGTGCTGTATAATGTGGATATGAAACACATTTAAATCTTCAAAGTGATATATCACAAGTGCTATTTCATAATACGTTTCTGTCATGAAATTTCATTAGGCATGTTACATTTTAAAATCAATAATTTGATGAATTATAATATATTTTCTTTTAGTAACTTCTAACATTGCTAACATTATGAATACTAACAGGGCATTTATACTCCTATTTTCAGTATGACTTAAGCTATAAATCAATATGCCATAACCACCATTTTGTGATGAATGTCTATCACGAAATTTCATCAGTGCTTGGACATTCTAAAATGAATAATTTGATGTACAACAATCTAATACCTTACTTTCTAAATTCCTAACTTTCCTAATAATTAGAATATTAATAATGCTCTTATATTCTCTTTTTAAGCACACTTGTAGCTTTAAATTGATATATCGTAAGCACTGTTTCGCGATACTTTTCTGTCATGAAATTTCATTAGACTTTTCAAGTTTGGAAATTGGTACTTTGCTGTATAACAGACTGATGGTTTTATACTTTCCAACTTCGATAATTTTGCAATTATTAACGGTGCTGTATAATACGGATATGAAGTATGTTTAAAGCTTTAAATTG